CATCATACTTGGATTTAGTGATGTATGTCTTTCTAATTGATTTTTAAAAGTTAGTTCTTGGAAGTGTCCTACGGAATCGAGACAAAGATCCAGGCAACTTGCTTTCTTTTAACCTAAAAATTCATGACAACTGTGTTAGTGTCTAAAGTGTATGAAGATCCTCTATTGTTTTATTCTCTCAGATGTTTAGCAATGGATTCTCTTAATAAATATATTATCAAGTAACTTCTTGAAGCTTTTTTTAAAACTCAAAAACTTAACTAAAGCCTTAAGGTGAAGTCATTGCTGCATTACACACCCTTTTCTATATATTTTTCCACAACCATTCAATATCCTTAGTTCCAGAGGTAAAAGATTGCATATGTACATTGACAATCTGTGGAACAGGCCTTGAGTCAGTTGCTGTTGCAGTGTGTTAATACCCTGTTTACCAGGTTTCTGTGGAATGTCTGAGGGAAGTCTGACTGCAGAGGTTTTGTCTGTGTAGTGCTCACACAACTTGTACAGTGCTCTGCTCCGTTGGGTGCTGTAACCCACTGGGTGGGGTGTGACAGGTGCTTTCCTAGGGCAAACCAGCATTGTGGCACAAAACACAGGAATGGTGTGTTCCACCCAGCAGAGGGAAGATCTGCTTGCCTGCATCTGTCATTAACCAAGAGCTAGTACTACACTGACTTCTTCAGCTTATTTTTCTTCAGAAGTCCAGCTTCCGTCACTCACCTGGCAAGCTAATTGCTGTTGCTGTACAACAGAACAGGGAGAGGTAGGTACAGCTCTGTGTCCTCAGCACAAAGTCTTGCTCTCTTTATAGCGTGGCTCAGCATGGCTGTTAAAAAGTTTAGCTCCTTGAAAGGATGTTTCGGACATGGAAATGGCTGAAGGAATCCAATCATTCTAGACATGAACTTCCACTTGGCCAACAGTATCAAGTATCAGAGAGAGGGCTAGAATAGCCCTCAATCCATCAGCAGTAGGAAATGACTCATTGACATGTCCAAGGCTTCCTTCAGATTGTCTTCACTTGAATGTGGCTTTTGGTAGCAGTGACAAGGCTGTGTAGTGTTTGATTTAAAATCTGTCCTGAGCTTTAGATGTGAATTATACATACTAACACACAGAAAAACAACAGCACTTTTACCAAATAGTAAAAAGAAAAATGCAAGCTCTTAGAGATTTAAATCCCATTTTACTTGTTTGCTCCACAGACAGCAGTAACCTGAACAATGCATGCAGTTACATGTAGTAGGACACCGGGTAAAGTACTTTATTGCAACATGCAATAGAAAAAGCAAGCAAGGGCCTCATTCACAAAAGGCAGCAGGAAGTATATCCATGAAAATGACTCCGGACCATGCTGGGGACAAATAACATTTTTCAACAGTCAAAACTACCCTTGGAGATGAAACCCAGGAGCAGCTACTCTAGAATGTGACTTGCCCAGAAGCAAAGTAAAGGGGGCAAGTGGTCCTGCTGTAAGACAGAGCACTATAACGTGAAGAAAGGAGGGGCTGGCTACTGAGCTCCTCGCAAACCAGCTTCTCAGACACATACTTTCAAAGAACTACTTGACACTCCAAGTCGTGACACTTTCTGCTCAAACTTCTTGGGTTTTTTTTACCTGTGACTCTTGGGAAAGCTTTGCTGAATATTCTGCACTCGTGTTCTAAGCCCCTTCATTAAGACATCCAGGATTCTCAAAAACCAGTTACTCTTTAGTACAGGATGAAGCTACATTTACATTCCAACACTGAGTTTCTATTGCTACAAACCAAGTAAGAGCCAAAGAAACAATCTCTCCTCAAACAGTGGCAGGACCTCGTTGGAGGTTGAATGGTGTTCTGACCACACCCAGGACACAGGGCACTCTTCAAAGTTCCTTTCCTGCTCTTAAAAGCAAACTTTACAAGACTGCTCATGCTGTTTTCTCCGAGTGATGCCAGAGATGGCAACAGCACCTTTAGATACCAGTTGTGCAATGAACAACCCTGGATATAACTGACTATTCTCCTAGTAAGACAGTGGACAAAGTGGCTGAGTTAGAATATTACCTTTATTGTCTGTTTTTAATCAGCTTAACAGAGTTTGGGTTTCTGTGCTTTAAAACAAGTCTTTAAGAACTGATAAAATAACCAGCTGCACCACACGGTGTCTGGATATTGTCTATCGGTAAGAGCAGCACTAGCTTGTTACTGTACCATTGAAGAAATTGTGGAGGGGACTTCACATCACTTTCCATTTTATAACTAAGTTCTTAAACTCCTCATACTCCTCCTTGAAGCTCACTTGAAAGCAGAAGGCGGACTTGCATTGACTTAGGAAGTTACTGTGAGGGAATAAGAAAATAACACTGATTTAAAAATAAGAGTTTGTTATTACGAGTAACACAGACCAATTCTTACTGTACAATTTGTGGACAAATAAAAGGCTAATTGGCTGCTACTCCGAAAGAGCAAGAAGTAGAAAATACTTCATTGTTACAGTCAGACTGACAGTACTTAGGAAGAGCACCAGTAGGTACAAAGAGAGGCCACCTTGTTACTGCGCTCAGAATTAGGTTGATGGTGCAGGACCTGCTTCTCCCAATGTAAGAACACCTACATCTCTATCGCAGTTACAGGGAATGTAAGTCCGGTTTTCCGTGTAACTGAGAACATAGCAGCTGAAAGCCTGGAGACAATCCTGGACACACCTTTTCTCACTGCGGATCTTAAAATTCCCAGTTGAAAAGCAAATGAGGTTGTAATATAATCATTGGTTCAGCAACCAGCCTCCATGGCCTGGTTTTATTTTTCAGCATCAGGAAATAAGAACAGACGAATTATTGCTTTTAGCATACATGTTAAATTAGTCTGACTTGATTAATGACTTCTCCCATCCACATATAAAGATGCAGAAAGCTACATTAGGTTTTTAATGTGGAAACAGATTATGCTACGTATGCTACGTACGCAGCAAATTTTCATTCTTTTAACATCTTAAGTCAAGATGTCCCAAGCTTGTTGACATTCACGTGTTCAAGTGTAACCTCCCTAGACTCCAGGAGTCTTGCATATCGTACAGTTCATATCCATATACAGGACAAAATGAAAATCGGTGAATTTTATATAAATGAAGAAGGAATTCCTGAGTCTGTATTAAAAACCATCTCCGATTTTTTTCTCTCAAGAATCGGATTCCTCCTCCTCTTCCTCCTCTTCCTCTTCATGATCTTGGAGACTTAGGTGTAATTCAGTTTGATTGATAGCAGCCTCGTTGTCCATCTGCCCAAGAGTCTGTCACAAGAGAAGAGTTTATCTTGCTAATTATCAAGACCAGCAGCGATACAGAATGCTTCTCAAATCACTATTAAAACTGCAGTCACAGCGTCTTTTAGAAATCTCAGTACTAGAACTTGGCTGCACGAGCCCATCACAGCAACGAGCACCAGTTCTCCATAGAAGAGTTTCAACTAGTTCAGGCTGACCATATATTCAGTAAAAAGTTCAGAGGCTATCTCTTCCTCCATCCCCTACAATCGGTTGGCTAAACCACCATCTCACAGTTAAGCGTGTTAGACACAATACTTACTTAATAAACGGCGAACTGAAGCTACACCAGTATAGAGCAGGTATTTCCCAGCCTCCTTGGAAACAACATGCTGCTCTCAAGGATGGGAAAAGGTGAAACCCTTGAAATGTCAGCGAGCAACAAACCAGACAGATTTTACAGCTGAGCTTTTCAGTTAATAAGCAGCATAAACAAGGCCAACATTAGGAACTCCAGATGAAAACCACCCACAGAAACACCCACAGCCACTCAAATCAATTCGGCTCCCCTCTCCCTGTCGCTCTTGCTGACACGCCCCAGCACAGGGGAAAACCAGTCCCTCTCTTTTCACCCCGCAAGGGCTTCCCTTACTTTTTGAGTCTCCTCTGCAACAGCTGATGAAGAGACTGTTAGGTTCTCCTCTCTGGACCTGATCATAGACTGGAGCGCCAGCTCTTCCACCTGCAAACAAGGGAACACAGAAGCCTTTGCAGTAATTATTTCTTGGACTCTATTTAAAGTATTAAATATTTAAAATTTAATTAAGTTAAAATATTTTGGAATAATCAAGAGCAGCAAGAGCAAAGCTTTTAAATCACGTTTCACCGCTCGTCAGCTTCAATGCGCGGCAGGACACCGATGACCCCAGCGCCGGCCGCGTTTACCGGGACAGCAGTAAAGGGCTGCGTTTACCTCCGCGTTTACTTCGTGTAACAACAGCTGCGGTGCAGCGATTAACAGG